GTGCCTTCCCTTTCACATCAAGAATTTAATTTTGCATTCTCTTTGTCTGTCTTGAGGCACACTTCGAGTTTATTCCATGGATTTCTTTTTCTTTAAAATTCTCCTATTGGCTAAAGGAAAGAAATAAAAATCAGAGCTTTGGTCAGTCTCTTTTTGTCCCAAGCTTAGGAAAGATGGGAATGTCTTATTCTTCAACACTTGGGTATTTGCTCATTTTCTCCGCTGTACCAGTAAGAAACACCATTTTCACTGTCTTTAAGACACTCTCCTTGGGACACTAATAGACTAGCAGACTTATACTCTGAATTTACCGTTAATCATTAAAGCTTCTTCTTTAATGATTATGGAATAGAACCTTTAATGTTCATGGAAAGGAATACAAGAAGTCGTAAGTTGGATTGTTTCTATTAACGGCAGGGTTGTGTTTCTAGACCGAGGACACATATTATTTCTGGCCCAAAAGTCTGTTCAGGTTGCTGGGAAGGTTGGACCTCCATCGGGGGGGTGATTTATTTGGGAATATGAAAGCAACTCTAAAGCTTTACCTGAATAAACCCAGATTTGAGATTTGACTCTGGAAGGAGTCCTACCCTGACTCTGTTGCTGGTTTTGAGCTTACCAAATTTTGGTTTGTATTTGCATCTTGTGGCTAATTTTGACCCAAGCTAAGCTGCATCCTCAAAGTATGTGTGGCCAATAACTTCCCTAAGGTACAGCATACAGAAAAAGGACTAGGACGTGGGCAGCTACATGGGCTCACTAACTGACTCCAACCCTGCTCATATCACCTGGCCAAGGAACTTGAGTTTCTCTCTCTCTAAATTCGAAGGCATTGGTTATTTCTCACTTCACAGGATCACAAGCCTATAGACTCATTGTCTTCCACTGACGAGCAATAATACAATAGCGTGGGGCATCTGTTGGAGCCCCATAGAATGAACACATATTGTGTATCCTAGGCATGCCCATCCCCCACAAGTAACCTCAGGCAGCAGTCCTTATACTGAGTGCCTCCCTGGTGCCCATGGCAACCCCAGCTTTTAATGCTGAAGTGTTACCACAGGGTTGCTTTTTGGTTTGGAGTTGGTTTTTTTCTGGAATCTTTTTGAATGAACTGTTGATGTTGCAGTTTTTGCACATCCTTCAACTTGTGCAGAATTCACAGTCAGAACTTATGAGCCTGAATCCAATCAGGTTTGCTAAGACCCACTATCTAAAAGCTGACTTATGCAAAAAATAAAAAATAAAAATAAATAAAAGCTGACATGCATTCTTACAGATTAAACTTGCCATTTAACAAAAGCACTTGATATTTCAGAATTAACTTTCTTCCTTTTATATTTTTTTCTTAATTACAATAGAAAACTATTTTGGGGGAAAACTTTTGCAAATCTTTATTTCAAATTTATGTGAATATACACTGTATGCATGTGCATATACCAATACCTAAATGAATATAAATTTAAAAGTATATATTCTGTATCTAGAAAGTTCTGCCTACCTTTCTATTCAATTTACTAATTCTCTGGGCTAGCATCTAAAATAGATTGACATTAGTTGAGGACAGAATCTTAAAACCTTCTGTGTACCAATAGATATTTTAAATTACCTATAATTACTTCTTCATACATTCTTTAAACTTCAACACTTGATTTTAAACAGAAGACACAAACATCAGTTTCTGCGAAGAAACTTGCTAGGGTCCTGGCTGCATTTGATAATATTTCCTGGTTTAGCATCTTTTTTCCTCCCAGAGTGCACAATTATAGCACACTGATTTAGGGTCCTCACACTTTCACTGAAATTATTTATCCATTTTTGCTTTTCCGATACAATTATTATTGTTTTAGCTTTTTAAAAACTCGATTTTAAAATTGTGTTCATTTAATGTGTCTGTCTTTAAAAGATTAAAAATCCTTCATTTGTATGTCACCTGTTAGCGAACATCTTCTATAAACGTGCAATAGAATGCCAAGTTAATTAGAAGGCCAGAACTCTATTCTGGAAGCAACGACCTCTGAAATGCAGCCACTTCGTGGATAAAAAGCAACAGCTGTGTGAAAACATAGTGCTGCTAACACTGCACACCTGCTTAAGGCAGGAAGTAAATGGAAAGACTTTCTCTACCTGAATTTTCAGGGAGCAATTTTTAAAGCTGGAATGGGATAACCCCACATGGGAATTTGATCCCAACACTCAGGATTAAATCTTGTAACACATGATGGATAAGAACATCATTATCAAAGACAGGCATGTCCTTGGGGTGAAGAGAAAGGCATTATTGAGGGTACCAGCCACAGGGTAGTTTCATTCTTGTCTTGTGTCCACCCAAGATTCAGGTTGAACCTACCAGAAATTTAGGCAAGACCTGGTGGCCTGCAGCAGTTGTAGGGAGGCAGTTACATATAGTCACTTGTTACATATGAAGAGGAGCTTTCTGGCTGATTTTAGGAAGGGCTAGCCCAATCAGGAGGAAGTTTAACCTGACCTGTTTGCTAAGCAAGGCCAGGTAGTTACTATAAGAGATGGTCTTGGCTGGGTGCAGTGGCTAGCACCTGCAATCCCAGCACTTTGGGAGGCCAAGGTGGGAGGATCTTTGAGGATAGGAGTTTGAAACCAGCCTGGCCAACATGGTGAAACCCCGCCTCTACTAAAAATACAAAAATTAGCCAGGCATGGTGGTTCATGCCTGTAATCCTAGCTACTCGAGAGGCTGAGGAAGGAGAATCACTTGAACCAGGGAGGCAGAGGTTGCAGTGAGCCGAGATCGCACCACTGCACTCTGGCCTGGGCAATAGAGTAAGACTCCAACTCAAAAAAAAAAAAAAAAAAAAAAAAAGATGTCTTTTTCTATGAATGGTTTCATTAATTATCCATGTGGGCTGGAATTATTTCTCTTGAACAGTTACTGATACAGATATTCAAACAGTTAATGAGACTCCATCTGTATAGGGACTTCCAAGTGGGAGTGCAGGCTGAATTGATTAGTTTTAGATGTGAGGCTTTTTTTTTTTTTTTCCAAGAAGGAAACCCAGAGTCCAAACAAACAGCATTTGTAAAGTTCTGAAAAGACATTGCTACCAGAAATGGGAAAAGAAAAAAAGAACACTTTTGAGCAAACCCTACTCCCTTTAAAATGAAAAACAATGGTAAAGGTTTCCATATGTAATTAAAATCTCTTCTAAAGTTACCACGGCCACTGGCTCCCAAAGAACTCAATTAACAGGAAACCGCGAAGAATATGGTATTTTCTTTGAGATGCTTTAAGAAATGCTCCTAAGTAGACAATGAGTTGGATAGTAGCTGTTACCTACAAAAGGATAAGCAATTATGATTCATTCCAGGGAAAAAAAGGGGAGAGGATAAGGCTAAGAAAAGTAGGTTTATAATATGGAAATTAGATTTTCAAGTGTGCACATTTATCATCAGATCTATACTGAAATCCAGACTGTACAAAGTCTAACTTTACTTAAGAAAATTACCTAATTTTTTTTTAATAAACTGCACTCACTCCCCTCCCTCCTCGCTCATTTAAAATATTTCAGCTGAGAAGGGAAAGAGATCGCTCCCCGCACACCTCAGTTCTCCTTTCCCAGACAGGCTTTCTCTTCCTACAGTTAAAGACTAAATGCACAGTCGTGGGGACCAGCTCACTTTTCAGGAGTTGGTTCTCCCGATGTCCCTGACACCAGTAGGTTGAATTTTAGAGTATGGAAGGAGGCCTCCGTAGGTGCGTGGACATTGTGGAAAGAACGGAAGAGACCATTTAGGTCACTCTGCTTGGTTTTCACTTTAGCGAAGTTGAAAACCAAGCCAGTAAGCAGTGAGTGATTTGATGAAACCATGCTTCAGGTGTCTGCCTCTTGGAGTTCGCTGAAAAGCTGGATCTTACACATTTAGCACCTGAAACAACCGAAGGCCGACGCAGGACACTGACAGACTAGGGCGAGGAGAGTCTCTGCCTCCCCTGACGACCGGGCCCACCCGCCACACCTGGGCAAGGGCGGCAGCGGTGCCTGCTATTAGAGTTAAGCAGCAAGGGCAGGGACACCTGGGATGTCAAAAAATTAATTATAAATAAATTAGTACTAGCAAACTACCTGTTAGTTTCTACCTGTGAAGACCTAAGAAGCCTAAACAGCTCCTTAATTTCTGGACTTTCCCTTGGATCACAGAAGGAGACCCTGGGAATTTTCCGATTTCTTCTTTCTTATAGGCTTTTTTTTTTTTTTCCCCGGGGCTTAATGGAGATCTTGAACTGCAGAGCCGCCGTGTCAGAACTCAGATGGTTAACATTCACTTCTTGCTGTTTTATTGCATATTACTGTGCGCGCCTGAGCAGCGGGAGCAGATTCGGGCAATTACAATCAAGTCAGGGCACACGCCGCGGCGGAGCAACACGAGCATGATGAGGATACTGATGAGGCACTTATCGAAAACCCCACATCATCCACACTCATCAGCCACAACATGTCACCCCAAATGAGGCATCAGCTGCCTTCAAAAGGCTCATTGCACAGTGTTTACCGCTTCCCTCGGACCCACTTTTGATTTTACGGTCAGAACTGGGTTCAAACAGCAGCTGTCTGGCAAGGGCAGGTCTGCGGCTCCTCGCAGCTTCCGCGAGCGTCGGGAGTCCTGGGGCTTTGTCTGGGGATCTTTGGGGAGCAGGGGCTGGCAAGGCGAGGGGGCGCGGAAGGCAGAGAAGTGTCCAGTTCCGTTTCTCGCAAAGAGGAATCCCTTTCCCAGAAGGGGCCCTTGATTAATTTCAAGCACTAGCACACAGTGGTGGCATAATGGGGGGAGTGGGAGGGAAGCAAAATAAGGAGCGTTCGACAGGTCTCCTTAGAATAGTAGCAGGGTGGGTGGGACCTCTCACGCAGGCAGAAGTCCTAGAAAGGGCAGTCCCTTTGGAAAAGACAGACCCAACCAGTAGAGCCGTTCAAGTGGTCACAATTTTCAATTTTCATCATCAACTCTTTCTTGGGTGGTTGGGGGAGGCGTTCATTGGCAATTTATAGGAGGACTCCCCCCACCCCCACCACCAAAATTCAGTTTTTCTGCTGTAGAAGAAAGAAGTATTTCTAAGTAATACTCCTTAAAATTATTTGGTTTTACTCCTTGAAACCCTTCCTTATTGCTTTGGGTTAATGCAACTTGCAGCTAAACACTTGGAGGATTCTAATTGTTTACATTTAGAAAAAGAATGTGAAAACCATTGCCATCTATGTTTCAATCTGTGTCTTTCCTGGTAGGGGGAGTGTACCAGGCTGATACCATCTTTGCACATATTTGTAATGACTGGATTAATCAATGCATTTATTTTAAAGCTAAATGTTTATAATTTTGTAAAATTCACCCTACAGTAAAACGTTTCCAGTTCAATCTAGACCAGTTGATCCAATACCAATAAAAGCCACATAGGCTTTCAATTTTTCACTCATTTGGAACATTTTCAGCCCACTCCCCTCAAGCCCCAGTGGGTGCTAGCTTAACCATCCAAAGAAGTAAGAATTAATTAAGAGCAGCACATGGCAGGGAAGAAAGGTGAATTTCCTTTCCCCCAAACCTATGACCTGTCCTGGATACAATGCCACATGCAGAGCATTGTTCAGCAAGGGAGCAAGGGAAGACTAGGCAGGTTCAGAGAACAATGTGGAAGAGGGTAGACCACCAGGCAGAGCCACACACCCTAACCAAGGACCAGAATCCTGGGACTTAAAAACAACACCAGTGTACCTGCTGTAAGTCTGGAGCGTACCTTTGGGTACAGGGTGCCACGAACTCCACTTTTTTCAGTTTCATCACATCCATTGCTACTTTCTTTTCACTGCTTTTTTTTCTACATAATTCTACAGCAGTTGGCATTTGGCTTTTAACATCTTTACAAAAAAAGGATTTTAACATCTTAACAAAAAATGGGGAAGCAAAGAAAATACTAAAGTAGATGTCTAGGTTTGAAGAGTTTTAGTAGTTTTAAGAAACTAAGTTATTTTTTCTGGTAAGTCCTTTTATCCACTTTTAGATGTTAACAAACTGGAGCCTCCAGGAATTTATGAAAGGAGTTTTTTTCTGTCTGTTCCGTCTCAGGGGTTCTGCTCGGCTTGTTTCCTCCCAGATCCTTTCCTCTTCTAAATTTTTTAAGTCTCCTTTCATGTCCCTGACCTGATAATATTCTAGTTTGTCCCATTTTACCCAAACTCTTCTCTAGCTTCTGGGGGCTTTTTCCTAAGTTTAAGCCACGTGTTTGTACTACATGCTTGGATTCAAGGGAAAACCTCACAACATGGTCTAGGATGGTGACCATAAACCTCAGAGGACCCACTCAACTTACTAGCTTCAAAAGAGTCAAGGCAAAAGGAGGCAAGTTTGTGCCTACGTTTCCTTTGTCATCATGGATCCCTCGGGCCTCCAGGCTTTGTGCCCCAAGAACCTGTGTTTATTGCATGATGTCAAGTGAATACTAAAGGGAAGAGGAAATGTGAGTGCAGAAAAGAAAATGAATGGGTACTACAGGATAGGGGAGAATTTGGGAAGGTTAGATTAAAAAGTAACTCAGGCTGAGATTCATCTTGGTCCTTCTAAGTTTTGCCTATGACTCATTTTCATGAAGTGATAACTCATAACCTTTAACTTAGTGTTTCCTTTTAGAGCTCTCCCAGTAGGTGACCTCTATTGATGATACAGAAAGAAAAGGAGTATTTAATTAGAGTTCAGCTCTTGATTATGGAGAGGATTCATTAAACTATCAGATGTATTTATATGGACTTTAGCAACTACTATCAACAATGCCTGCCATTGGTTCTAGGGGTTGCAAACATGAGTCATAATTCCTCAGAAAATTTTAATATTGATGGTATGTGTTTAAAATTTTTACATATATTGGATACTCTTCAATATCTTGCTACTGATAGAAGTCGAGGCTGAAGAAGCAGAGGGAAGATAGCAAATGAAAAATGCAGCATGATAAATTCTAGACAATTATCCAAACTAAATTAAAAGGAATTATTCATGTAGAAGATCAGAAGAATCCGCTGGTCAGATGGCTATTGAGGCCCTAGTTCTCAACCTCTGATTTAGGAATTTAGAGAAAAACAATCCTGCAGGATCCTTGCTGCAAGCTTCAGAGAAGATCCAGGCCAGAAAGAGACAGTTTGCATGCATGGGGTGTGTGTGTGTGTGTGTGTGTGTATGTGTGTGTGTGTGTGTGTGTGTGTGTGTGTGTATCTCTTTGTGGGGTCATCATCTAACGCTCTTTGTGATGCACATTCTAAATTAGGCAAAAGGGATGCATCTTTCAAATGCAGATCATGTTTGCATTAGAAGAGCAATGAGAACACTTGTCAGTTTCAGAACATTTATGTGCTAGAAGTACTGTTAGCAGAAGAGCAGTTTAGATAAATTCAAGACTTTTTTTGCTGATCACAAACATTAAGCTTCACACCTGAAGCCCTCAACCCCCTGCTGTGCTCTAATCCTAGCACCATTCACCCTTAGAGACTCAGAGTGCTGTGCCTCAGCTCTCAAACCTTTGATTGCCCTTAGTTTGAATGCCACCACCTGCAAAAATGCTTTTTTATTCCCTTTGAGCCTCTTGAGAAGGAAGTAAAAATGATAATTCATGACAAACATTAATTAATTGTTTACAAGATGATCTTTTCTTTTTCCAACTTCTGTTCAGCAGACATGTTGAACTGCAGTATTCCACTCTCGACGCCAGAATTCGTCAAGAGTTCTGCATTGTTGTTTCGCACTGAGGCATAGGACTGGCTCAGGCCATTGTTTCTCCAGCTCAAGTGGGCCTGTCTGGTTCGTGTTGGAAGAATGGAGGTGACATGCGTGAGTTCCCGAGTATAAAAGAACTACTGGTTCTAGGAAGAAACAGGAGGTTAGCCACTAATGCAGAGTAAATAAACATTTTTCACCACCTCTTGCTCCATGTGATTTTTAAAGGTCAAGAGCTGCCATTACAATATTTTAAAAGCTTCAAATTACATTTAAAGAACGTATCACTAAACTCACAGAAACCTTATCAGAATTTAGGAACCCACTGTGATTGTTTGGTCCTTGAGTTTATCATCCCACTGGAAGGTGGATTGTAAAAGGAATGCAGATGCCCCGTTGTTTCTGATATCCTGCAATTTGTGCAAAGTGAATGCTGCTCAAGTTCTTCCAAATTTCCCTTCAAAATATGGAAAGTGTTAAAGACACTTCAATTTCAAAATCTTATACAAGCTACATTGCAGGTCAAACATGTAGGGCAGGGAAGAATAAGGCTCTGGGGCCTTTCACGACAAATACGTTCAAAATGCAAAGAGATGTTCATGTTCCCTTGAAACTTCCAAATGTATGTGTGTGAAAGAAAAAGAAGTAAAAGGCTGAGGGAGATTTCTTTTTTACATTAAAGAATAAAAAGCTTACTTCGAGGAAGTGTAGAGTAACAGCAGAAAGACTTCCTCAGCAACTGAGGTTTTCAGATTTCAAATTAGGAGCCCTTAGATCACGGCTGCTAGGCTAAAAATCAATTCTATATTTTCTGAGTTAATACTAAGGATTGCACTTAACAGACATGGAGACTAATAAGGTATGCAGAAGGAGTAAAAGCAGCGCACACACACAAATTCAGGCCTTAGTTTTGGCCATGATCCAGCACAATGATGTTTCAACCAGATTTGAAAAAAAAAATCAATAACATCTGTGGTATAATGGTTAATTAAAGCAGCTCTTCAGCAGAGCTCAGGAGGAGAGGCTCAGCCTGAAATTCAGACAGCTGAAGCTTGATTATCAGGAAAGAATGCTTTTTTAGCTATGAGTGGATAGGCCAAAAGCTGCAATGTGCCGAAATGGGGAGAAAAATTGCTTTTATTTTAACTTTCTTTAAGTAATCAATACATGCTTTTCACCTGCATTAGGACACTGCTCAGCTCCAAAGCCTGTTACTCCACTTCAGCATAAATTCTAGCTACTGTCTTTTAAAGCTTCAGTTTAAAAAGGAGCCCCCATCCCCTGTAAAGCAAAAGAAAAGAATATGCAGGTTTGGGTGCATGTTCTTGAGACCAGTTAAAGCTCAGGCTATAGGATGGTCCAAGGGGTTTAATCCATAAGCCATGTGCCAAGCTGACCTGACATTGGGGTACACAGAGGTCAGAGCCAGACTACTAAGGCTTCACAATAGATCTGCTAAAAATTCTAAAGGAAACTGAAGAGCAAGGTCAAATTTCCCACTGCTTTTCATCTTCCTATTGTTTTGAGTAGTGCGCAAAGGATGTTTTCTTTACCTTTTCGAGGGCAAAGCTCAATAAATCAACAATGATGCCTCTTGCAAGGTTAGTAGGTGACTTTTCAAAAGAAAAAAATAATTGGTAACACGTCATCTATTTTCTTAACACTTTGCTTTGGCTTCTATTTCTGATATTGTTCCTGGACAGTGGAATCTGTGTATTCACATCATCATGGTCAAATTTCAAGATGCATTTGTAAAATGATATTGCCCCCTCTGGATACACTAGTCCTCCTATAGCATATGGTTAGTCAATTGGTCATTTATTTTTTCGTTCAGCAAGTTTTTCTTCAGTGCCAAGCATGTGCCTATCACTATGCTGGGTGGCTTCTGCTGTAGGAAGCTCATAGCTTGTTAGAGGGCTGTGTGCTTGTGAACAAATAGTTGCAAACACAGTGGGAAAACAGCTCAAATACAAGTGTCTAAAACGGCTAAACATTTTGAAGGCCCCCCCGCCCCCGCCGCCCCGAGTCAACTGCACTTGGGAAGAGACAGAGTGAAGGTTAGGGAGTGTCAACAGAAAATCTTCTTGGAGTGAAATCATGGAAAATAAGTGTCTCCAGGAAGACAAGGAGAGAAAGGCAGAGAAGGCATTCAAAATTTACATATACTTATGTGAATTATAAGTATCAATTCAGAAGAATATATATGAAAGAAGTGATATAAATATCTTATAAAATCTTCTGAATTAATCTTTTTAAAATTGATACATAATAGATATATGTGTTTTCAGGGTATAAATGACATTTTGATGCATTCATATAACATGTAAAGATCAAATCAGAGTAATTGAAATATCCATTAACTTAAACATTTATGTTTCTCCTAGGAACATTCGAATTATTCTCTATTAGATTGGTCATTACTTTTATCACATCATTTTGCCATTACCTGAAAAGTAATATAATGTGATTTTAATATCACATTAAAAGTCGTGGCAAAATGGTGCAATTACTTTTGCACCAATGTAACAGCTATTTTGAAATGTACACCAGAGTCACCCTACCGATCTATCAAACACTGAGTCTAACTGTATATTTGTACTCATTAATCAGTCTCTTCATACCCTTTTCTCTCTGCCCTTCCCAGCCTTTGATAACCACCAATCTACTCTGCCTTTATGAACTCCACTTTATTTGCTCTCATATGAGTGAGAACATGCAATCTTTGTCTTCCTATGCTTAGCTTATTCACTTCACATAATGAACTCCAGTTCCATCCATATTGCTACAGATATATTTTACACCATCTATCCTCATTTTAAGAACCATCAGGATCACAGATTCCAACACCTTCCTTTATAGCTATCACAATCAAGTAGTTCTGTCCTTCCTCTGACCACACTATCACTGGAGGTTGAAATTCACTGGTATCTTCTCTTCTCTAAAACATAGCAACTTTGCCTTTTCCTCAGGGATCCATTTTTTCATCCTATGACTTTTCTTTTAATCAGTTTCTGGGCCCTTTCCAGATTCTCCCTCTTTCTCCATCATTTCAAAACGTGAAGTAGATTTAAAGGAGCCAAGAAGCTGGTCTGCCCATCAGTCGTCTCTACTCTAAAGTATAATTTAAAAGAACTAATAATAATGCCCAACACTTTTCATCTTAAAAATATTGGTCTTTGGGTAAAATCCTGCACCCCCACCTACTATATGATCATGGGCAAGTAATGGGATTTCTCTGGGCTTCAGTTTTCCATCTAAAAAATGGACATAAAAACAATAACTGCCTCATAAGGCTATAATGTGGATTCAGTGAGTTAAATTTATAAGTGTTTAGAGCAGTGCCTGGCACAGAAAAATTGCTGTCAGTGATTGTTGAATAAATCATAGTTACCAGCACCTATTTTGCACAAGATTCCCTGAGTGAGGCTTTGTGTTCCCACCCAAATCTCATCTTGACTTGTAATCCCCATAATTCTCATAATTCCCACCTGTCAAGGGAGAGACCAGGTGGAGGTAATTGAATCATGGGTGACCGTTTCCCCCAGGCTGTTCTCATAATGGTGAGCGAGTTCTCACGAGACCTGATGGTTTTATAAGGAGCTCCGCCCCCTTTCCGGGGTAGTTCTCCTTCCTACTGCCTTGTGGAGAGGGTGGTTTTCTTCCCCTTCACCTTCTGCTATGATTATCAGTTTCCTGAGGCCTCCGTAGCCATGCTAAACTGTGAGTCAATTAAACCTTATTCCTTTATACATTGCTTAATCCTTCCCTGCTTTGATATAGATCAATTCTGAACCATCATTTTAAGTCTGATTTTTGTCCTTTAATGTATTAGCAACTCATATGTAAAGCCAATTATTTACTTCCAATTTTTTATTTTGTTTTCTATGTCTTAAGATACTTTTTAAATCATGTTACCAGGTTTTCTTTCTTAGCAAAGGAGTGATGTTGCCTTTACATTTCTCTGTGTTAAGTCTAAGGTTTTATATCTTGAGGACTGACTTTCCATTCTTGCATTTGTTTTCCTGGCTTGTCTTTGTGCTCTTCCCTGGTAAGTTAGTGTAATTTCAACTGTTACAGCCATTTAGCACCTTGTATTTAATTCTTCTCAAAATAAGGTAGGTTTAAGTAATTAAATTTAAAGTGCAAATATTTTGAGCAACTATCAGTGTAGGTGCCATCCTCTCTGTTGGGAATACACAGATGTGATGTGTATTGGTGAGGCTTTGTTTCTGCCACTATCGACAGAAACTTAACTACGTGGCTTAAACACATTCAGGTTTATTCTTTTGTGCAAATTAAGACTGAAGTTGGCTCAGGATGATTCCAAAGAATCATCAAACTCAATGTCATTTATGTCCCATGTTGGTTTTCACCCTCAAGGTTATCTTGTGGTCCAAAACTGTTGGTGAAACATCAGCTGCCACCTGTATCCCAGGCTACAGGATGAAAGATTGAAGGAGTTTTTCTCAGAACTCTCAACAATTCTGCTTGTATCCTGTTTGCCAGAACTTAGTCACATACCTAGCTGCAAGGAAGGCTGGGAGACATAGACTTAATTCTGGTGCCACTTATCCAGCCAAAAGTCAGGTTTGTGGTGCTAAGGAGGAATGAGAGAATGAATTTCAGTGTCCAACTAGCAGTCTCTGCTACAAAATGGTTTAAGGCAATGAGGAGCTCAGTGTTTGGTGGTAATGACAGACAATTACAATCTAGTGAAATAAGTGCTGATGAGTTTTACATAAAGTTATTGGTGTCGTCTTTTTATTTCTATTCATTGATATGATTTACTCTTCATAAAGGTCGTCTTACTCCTTTGTGCTTCCTGCTTCCATCCCCACTCCCATAGGCTGAACAAGCACAGTGAAATGTAGTTTTATCAGATTTCCCAAAGGACAGTCTCCATTGATTCTCACGAACTTATGAAAATGTGTGTCTCACCTACAAGTCACAAAATCACTGAAGGGTAGAGAGTAGGCCTTGGTTATTTTTATAAAGAGATTGTGCTTGGCTTGGGGGCTGCTTAATGATCGCTGATAGGATGATTTCCAGTGCTTGAAAAAGTGTTTTTTAAAGACCCTTCGGTTCCTCTAGGCTTCTTTGCCACTGAAGAAGAATGTCCACCTCAGATATATCTACCAATGTAGAATGACTTCCCTGAAGTTTTGGTCTCATTCTGTTTACCAAATAGCATGTAACTTTAGGCATATCCTTTAGCTTCTCTGGCCTGCATTCTCTTAAATATTCCTATCTTGTTATTTTGAGCATGGGTAAAAAATGAAAGTGATATGAAAATATTTCATGTTTCTCTAAAGACCTTATAAATCATAATTACAGAATTTTTTTCCCTTTGGCAAGGAAAAAGTTGTATATACATATACAGTGCAGATTTTTAAATAGGAATAATACCATCCCAGTGAAAATCAAATGAATAGATTAAAAAATGCTTTGAAAATATTAAGTAATGTTTGTGTAATATGTTTTTTGTCTCTTTATGTAAACACAGAAGGTTATATTTTGTTTGTTGCATTAATAAGTTTCATTCCAATTCACAATGAGTGTAAAGGAGGTAGCTTCTCCTCTGGTAGTTAGGGAGGAAATGTATACCCACGAAACTACTGGGAAAAATTTCATTGCAGTATATAAGGTTAAGCATGAGAAAGGGGTTTAGGTTGTGCAGAGAGGCAGTTCATAAATGTTCCAACACATATGAAGAATAATTCATTCAATAGTTATCGGTAGGAAATAATGGGAAAGCAGTAAGCAGAATTATAAAGCTAGAATGAATTAAATAATAAAGCAGAGGTGATATTGACACAATGTAAAATCTTGCTGCTTGAATGTTCAAAACCTGCAGGTCAGATAAACTCTATCACTAAATTTGTACACTTCTAAGTGAAATGCATTTAATTTTTATTTTCTGGATTCATTTCACTTGAGCGAACACTGAAATAGACTCATGGCCATTAGCTAGCAACATCATCAGCTAAGTGATACCTATTGCAGAGAGAATTTCAACCTTTTATCAGTGTTTTGTTTTAGAGGTTTAACCATTATACACTAAATACACCATCAGAAGAACGAATAGTAATGCCTAGCACTTTTCAACTCAAAAAGCATTTTATGCATATTAACAAATTAATACAAATAACTCAGCAAGACAAACAGTATACAAAATAACCCCCATTTTACAGAAAGGGAAATAAGGCTAAATTACTTAAGGGAATATTCACATCAGAGAAAGGCAGGGGTCGAGATGATTGCATCCACAGTGAAATCAAAGAAGCTCTTATATTCCCAAAATGTGTTCTGGATACTGTATCTTTTATTTCTGAAATGCTCTTTTACTGTTAGACTAGGTTGTGGAAACAAACTCAATAGTGACGTATCTGACCTAGAACAAGTAATAAGGACTGCTGTGCTGTGCCTAGCTCATTGCTAATTATCTTTGGGTATCACAAATATATTGACTTGTGATCACCTGTCATCTTTATCATTTATTAATAGTCTCTTGTTCTCAATTTCATCATATGTAAAGTTTGCAGAATAGCTTTATACTTACCTATTAAGCATATATACTTACCTTATATTCTCATATGAGATAAAGGATGTGAATGTTTGAAAACTCAAGTAACTCCATTTCAAATGTCTTCTGCATAGCACACTCTGATGTATTCACTCCCAACTCCCCTAAAGGCAAAGAAAACCTCACATTAAAACTAACAACTCTGCCAACATCATGGAAAAACTTTTTTACTAACTACAAGACTAACAAAGCTGGAATGAGGAAAATAATAATCAGCCTATGTTAATTCTCAACAAAATAGTGCCTGTTCACCTGTGGCCAACATTTCTGATTGGCTTATACAATAGCTATACCCAAGCACCCTCTCCTTTGCCCCAGAAAGGCTTGCTTTCCAGACATTCTAGTGCAGCCCTCTCCTCCTTCCTCTTGCCTTGAATGTGAACGTGAGAGTGCAGCCATTTTGAGACCATGTGGGAACATGTGGATGAAAATCCAACACTAAGGATGGCAGAGTAGAAAGATGGAAATTGGTAACAGTAGAATCTCTAGGCAATCCTAAAGTTGCCTACTTCCAGACCTGATGGGTAAATAATTAATGTTGCTACAGTCTATTCAACTGTTGACCTTTCTGTTACTCATAGCCGAAACTGTTCCTAACAGAAATACCATGCTGAAGATGGTGGGAAGGTACAGTGTTTCACCACAACTATCTCCTCTCTGGCTTGGGACGAAGACCTAGCTGCTTTCCACTTCTGTGCAGCTTTCCACTTCTGTGCAGATGCTGCATTTTAAAGTAAAACATTTGTATTTCTCTGATTACAAAAGCATCAATGTACATTGTAGAAAATAAAGTTAGAAATACACAAAGGAAAGATGAAATAACCCATAATCTCACCAGCCAGTGATAATAACCATTAATATTGTACTACATATTTTTCTATGCATAAATATACATATATTAAATTTTAAAATGAATTTGAGATAATGCTGTATGTACTAGTTTACAGAAATCTTATTCTACTTTTCACTATTTTTCATATTTTCTATGTATTTAGATATCACATTATCTTAATGGCTATATGGTATTTTACTATGGAAATATCATTTATTTAATCAGTATTCTATTAGTCATACAGACTATTTCTGAATTTTCACTGTCACCAACCCCAAACAAAACTATTTACATATGTCCAAGATTTTTTTTTTTAAGACGGAATCTCGCTCTGTCGCCAGGCTGGAGTGCAGTGGTACATCTAGGCTCACTGCAGTCTCCACCTCCTGGGTTCAATTCTCCTGCCTCAGCCTCCCCAATAGCTGGGACTACAGGCATGTGCCACCACGCCTGGCTAATTTTTGTATTTTTAGTAGAGACAGGGTTTTACCGTGTTGGCCAGGATGGTCTTGATCTCTTGACCTCATGATCCACCCGCCTCAGCCTCCCAAAGTGCTGGGATTACAGGCATGAGCCCCTGTGCCCAGCCCGAGACATGTTCTTGAAAGTAGAATTGCCAGGTGTGGTGGCTTACGCCTGTAATCCCAGCACTCTGGGAGGCCGAGGTGGGTGGATCACGAGGTCAGGAGTTCAAGACCAGCCTGGCCAACATGGTGAAACCCCGTCTTTACTAAAATATAAAAAATTAGCCTGGCATGATGGCACATGCCTGTAGTCCCAGCTACTCAGGAGGCTGAGACGGGAATCACTTGAACCTGGGAGGTGGAGGTTACAGTGAGCCGGGATTGCGCCACTGCACTCCAGACTGGTGACAGAGTAGGACTCCATCTCAAAAAAAAAAAAAAAAAAAAAGTAGAATTACTGTGGTCAAAAGAAGCACTTACTCACTTTTAAGGCTTATAACAACATTTCTAAATGGTATTTCAAATCCATGGCTATGATTTGTACTCCTGCTAACAGTGTAATAGGGATCTATTTCCCTGAAGCCTGGTATACATTTGGAGGAAGCCAAAATACTGTCCCACATTGACCCCATATTTCCTTAACTGTTCACATCCTGAAATAGCTTTTCCAAGAAATCAATCAGAAACAAAGTGGGGATGTGGGAGATTAGCAGGGGAGCAAGGGGCTTGGCAAATGCACTCCCTGCTGGTAAACAGTCAAGGCTGAGGCAGAGTGGGCCGGGGGTTGTGCAGCAACAGCCCTTGCTGCAGCGCACAGATACTTGTGTGTTTCAGAGTTTTGGAGTGTCGGCAAATCAGGATGCAGAGTGTTAGAAGATCCCATCTCAGAGTATTGCAGCCAAAATAGGGCCACTGCTTTGAATAAAAAAATGATATCAAAAATACTCTCCCCATTCTTTGTTTCCCCCCAGTAAAAAGATAGCATTTTCTATGGGGAATTTAAAAAAATGGACTCAGATTTCTGCTCTTCAAAGTACATACCAAAATTATATATACAAAGTGGGGACAAGGTTAGTGTCTACATGGGTCGTACTTGGTTCGGAACCAAGTTGTCTTTCATATGTGAAACTATTAGAAACTTAGATCCAAAGTATATTATGGTGCTACTCCAGTAGTGATGCATCCAAAATATATGAACATGCAATACATATTGTAATATATACTTAGAATCATCTTTATTGATGAGAAATCTAAATTCCATCAATGACTTCTATTACCAAAGATTTTTTTTTTTCAACAATAAAGTCTGTTGAGGAAACCAGCCACATATTGGTACTTAACTAAAAGCAGGAGACATTAATGCAGTTCACAGATCTGGAAACTGTAACTCAGGACTTCATGGGAGGTGTTTATGCCAAGCTCCCAGGCACAGGAACCATGTTTCTGAGCTGGCAGGGGGTCCCTCTCCACCAGAAGACTGCATTTTATAGTTCCTACACAGGCAGACTTATCCAGTTAAGCATAGTAGGCAGAATGCCTATGGCACACAGTACTCTTAGGAGACCACAGACATGTTAATTTTAATTTTTTTTATACTTCAAGTTCTGGGATACATGTGCAGAACATGCAGGTTTGTTACATAGGTATACATGTGCCATGGTGGTTTGCTGCACCCATCAAACCGTCATCTACATTTGCTATTTCTCCTAGTGTTACCTCTCCCCTATCCTCCCCGACAGCCGGCACGCCCCAGTGTGTGATGTTCCCCACCCTGTGTCCATTTGTTCTCATTGTTCAACTCCCATTTATGAATGAGAACATGTGGTGTTCGGTTTTCTATTCCTGTGTTAGTTTGCTGAGAATGATGGTTTCCCACTTCATCCATGTCCCTGCAAAGGACATGAACCCATCCTGCTTCATGGCTGCTAATTTTTTTCAAATCAGAAAAAACATGAGCTCAAACTAGTTGATAGTCATAGCAATGTAGCCATAACATTCTTAGTTTTTATGATTTTTTTTTCCCCTAGAGACAGAGTCTTACTGTCACCCACGCTGAAGTGCAGTGGGGTGATCATAGCCCACTATAACTTCAAACTCCTATGTTCAAGAGATCCTTCTGCCTCAGCCTCCTGAGTAGTTGGGACTATAGGTGTGTACCACCAATCCTGATTATTTTTTGTAGATAAAGGGTCTCATTATGTTGCCCAGGCTAGTCTCAAATTCTAAGTGATCCTCTGGCCCCAGCCTCCCAACACACTGGGGTTACTGGTCTAGCCACCACGCCTAGACTAGCTGTTGTTGTTGTTTTTTAAATGGAAGAAGATAAAAGTGCCTGGCCTAGCTGGAGAAACGAGCCCTGACCAGCCAGGCAAAAGCCGCAGCCCTCCAACTCAGTCTGGTTCCCGATCTTAGCAACCTTCCTTTTCCACTTAACTAGAATCTCTGAATTGACAGCTGCCATTTCAGTCTACTCTTGTATCAAAGACTAATCCCTCTTCCAACCCCAGGCGGGTCCCTGAGGAAAAGGGCTCTGAGAAGGAACCTAAGGAAACTAAAAATGCATGCGTGACCACCCAGCAAAGTATAGGTTGAGTATTCCTGATCCAAAAAGCTGATATCCAAAATGCTTTAAAATCCAAAACTTACGGAGCACCAGCATGATGCTCAAAAGGAAATGCTCATTGGTGCATTTCAGACTTTCATTTTTCAGATTTGGGATATTCAACTGGTAAGTATAATACAGATAATACAAAATCCAAAAACATCTGAAATCTGAAACACCTCTGGTCCCAAGCATTTGGGATAAGGGATACTCAACCTACACTTCTCCAGCTGAATGCCACATTCTTTCTACTATATAACACTGGTACCGAGGGCTGAGATTTGGTTTTGCAATTCTTTAAACTTCACATAGTACCCACTTGATAAATATTAGATGTCTGGCTAGCTGGGTACATAGATGAATGGATGGACAGATGGGAATGCTAAGGATCAGAAGCCATCTTCAGATGCCTAAACTTTTAAACACCTAAGACAAAGATCAACAAAATTTTAAAGCCCCATGGTAAATATCTCAAGCTTTGCAGGCCACATGGTCTCTGTTGCAACTGTTCAACGCTGCTGTTGTAATGTGAAGAAACCATACACAACATATAAATGAATGTGACTGCATTCCAGTGAAATTTCATGGACACTGAAATTTGAATTTCATTTAAATTTCACATCATGGAATATTATTTTTTCAGCCACTTAAAAATAAACAACATTCTTAGCTCTCAGCATTGACCAAAAACAGGCAGTGAGCCAGAACTGACCCGCAGGCTGTAGTTTGCTGACCTTTGACCTGACCTATAGGGTGGGATTGTCTGGGAAAGGCTTGCTGCAAATGAAAAGGCCACAGTTGCTACTGAGGAAGCAGAGTCATTGGAACTGCCTCCCCATCACTCTTACGGGCTTCGGCACATCTGCCAACGCTCCTCACCACCTAGACCACTGAATCAAGCTTTAAACTTCTACATCAACAAGATTAAAACCTATCATTCTATACATTCCTGCCTTTTGCAGAGATTTTGGCCTTTATCATTCCAAGAATCTTGATCTATCCAGGCCCAATAGATTTGATGTTCTGCCATCATTTTCAACTCGGCAGGTTTAATCTGAAACTCATTACCTTTCCTTTAATGTGGCCTCCCCATATTTTGTAAGCCACTCAGTTTCAAAACTTCAGGCATCTTTGAATTTGCCTCCTTCACCCTCCAGATCTGTTTTTCACTTCGTGCTATATATTTGACCACCTCGTCCCAGAACT